TAAAGAAAAAGATGTTTGCGATAGAGTGATTTCATAAATTTTTGAATTATGTTCAGAAGTATAATTAGTTAAAAGACTGAAAACAAATGCTAGTTGGTAGGACTGTGCTGCCATCTGTTACCACAAATATTAAATGTTCATAAAGATGGCATTTTTATATGCACGCTTGTCTATTTTTCTAGTGGTACAAGTCATGTACCCATCAACCCCTATTTTTTTTATACGTGATATTAGGTTAAAACTACTTGATGATAACACCTTATTATATATACACGTTCAATTTTGAGCATCAAATTTTGGATTAAATTCATACATAGTGAAAAAATAGTTTTAGTACCGGAATTAAGAAAGAGAAATATTCAGTTTTTGTCATGATGTCAGAAAAGTTTTAGTATATCATATGAAACGATGGTTTTCTATTAGTGTGTCAGTTGACTGAACGAAAACTTTCTATGTACCGCTTGCAAAATATATATATATATATTGTAAAACTACTTACAAAATTAGTGTCATTTTTAATCCATTTTATTACAACATCAGAAAATTGCATACATCGAATTAGTGGAGCTTATATCATCGTTAAATAATGATAAATAGTTATGAATATTTTAATGTTTTTATTAGTCATTGAAATAAAACTAGTTAATGGATATTTTTGGGAAATAATAATATTTAAAAGTAAACAAATGTTGCAGTGAAGATATAACAGATTTTAAGTGGGCTATATATTAAATGAAGTTTATGAACATGAGGTTTGTAAAAAACAAATCTGTTATTAATTATTTTATTTTTTAACAGGCTAGATCTACAACTAGAGCATTAAGTTACCATCCCTGTCTCCAGCTTACAATTTTGTTTCTTTACTTGAAGTTAAGCACAAAGCTACACAATGGGCTAGTTTGTGCTCTGCCAACCACGGGTATCGAAACCCGGTTTCTAGCGTTGTAATTCTGCAGACATACCGCTGTGCTACTGGGGGCTGTTATAAAGAAGAAAACGTTCCAGTCTCGTTACGAAAGTCTTCCATCATATAATATTACCACAGTGGAAATGTCCTGATGTCCACAACTTGAAAAGTTGAGGTTCCTTCACTATCTAACGGACCACAGCATCAAAGACTGATGGCATGATGACAGGCATCACCAAATATTGCAACACTCAGCAGATCTCCAGAGAACAAAATGGTAAAGGATTGTCTTAACTGTACCTTTGTTTAGAAAAATCAGTTGAATTTAACAGGTTGCAATGATTATTAACTGTTCAGATAAAACCTCTTAAACAGTTTATAATTCGAGTTATATTTCATCTTCAAGAATGAATGTTGAAAATAAATGGCGTTTTAATGACTTCATAGCGATTAAGTTCAATTCACTGCTATTCAAACACATTATCTGAAGAGCTGCATTTTATTTATTTACTCAACAATTGCAGTGTGTGTGTGGTTATACAGAGACAAAATTATACAGGTTTGTGTGGTTCCAGATGCACCTTAGTACAAAATATACATATATAATTACTCGTCAGAACTCCTCTTTGTATTCGAAACCTCTAGTTATGGTTCAAAGCCTGTTACTTCCTTAACTTAGATTCAAATCCATGATCTAAGCTGTTTTAGGTTTGGATAGACCTAACCCTGAAATGTTTCTACGTTTACAATAATGGTCTTCATACCTCTATGTTAAAATCCAGATGTACGAGCCCTGATTTGTTAAGTTCTAAGTCTGTGAAGAAAGTATATTCCAGCTTAGGTTTAAAGTACCACAGATTGAAACTTCATTTAGAATAGGTATTTGTTATAATAATCTTATATCCAGTTCAGCAAACTCAGAGTAACCAAGTCTTGTTTTCTTTTATTTCAAAGAAGAAAGACCCAGAGGGTTATGTTTTATATTATTAGTTCTTAATCTTTAGTACTAAGCTTTGTGTATCATAGTTTTAAACACTTTCTTTGGCTTTAAACTTTCAAGTTTACAAGCATAAAACTTGATAGGTTTCATTTTCGAAGGTTTATTATCTTGTATAAGACTTGGTTCCAAGCCTTATAGTTTGGACAAAATTTAACAGATTGTAGTAAAAATACGCAAACTAAAATAGTACGGTATAATAATTTGGATTTGGATTAATATAACTAAGAAACGTATGCACGTATGTGTGTGTGTGTGTGTGTATAAAGTTTGTTTTTGTAATAATGCAGAACATGATACTGTTGGAGTGTACAATATAATGTAAAATCATAGCCCAAAATATAATACAATGAAACGAACTGTTTTAAAAGCCCGAATTAAAAATTCAATGTGATAGATAAAATGTAAGCCCCCCAGTGGCACAGCGGTATGTCTGCGGACTTACAACGCTAGAAACCGGGTTTCGATACCCGTGGAGGGCAGAGCACAGATAGCCCATTGTGTAGCTTTGTGCATAACTTCGAACAAAACAATGAAATGTAAATCGGCCTTTCACTCAAAACTATTCATAAGACAAAAAAAAAAAAAAAACAACGATAAAATGTGTGAAAATACCCATTATTTGACGATATTCTTGGGAAAAAAGTAATCTGTTGCACATACTTAAAAAATCAGAAAGTTTGTAATTAAGCACAAAGCTACACAATGGGCTATCTGTGCTCTGCCCACCATGGGTATCGAAACGGGATTCTACCCCAGACATACCGCTGTGCCACTGGGGGGGGGGGGGGCTTTAATCAGAATAAATTACTATTAAGTATTGTATTCGGATTTTGGTAAACTGTGTGTATTTTAGGAACGAGGTTCGTACATATTTTGTAAGCAATACCTTTCTACATTTTTATTAAAGTTAGTTCCGTTAATATTATTGGTTATAAAGTTATTATTATCATTTTGTTAGTTCTTACACTGTGAACAACTTATGCTGCATTGTTAGATAAGTATCTAGATTTTTTTACTAATTTAAATATTTTATATTTGCTGAGATACTGTTGAATTTGCGATTGAAGATTTCGTTTATAACTTGTGTGATCAACTATACGTTCTGGCTTTCTTGTTTATAGTTTGTTGTATAAAATTCATTTACGAGCTACATTTTAGTTCCACTTTATAGACTTATCTCCTTTATTATTGTGGTATATTGGTTTATAACCAAATTAATGAACCAAGGGTGTATAACCAAATTAATGAACCAAGG